CCTGCTCCCCAGAGGGCCCTGCCTGAGCATCCCTCCCTCCTCCTTTTAACCAGCCATCTGTTGCTCGTCCCTTCCATGGCTCATTCACAGATGTCACTGCAGATCTTCTGTACAAAATATTCCCTCCAGAATATCACTGTTTGTGTTTTGGTGTGCTTTTGTACTTTTTTCTAAAATAACCTTTTATTTAATGTTATATAAATACTTTTCAACAGCGCTTCCATAAATAATGAGATGAAAGAGCTCAGTAATATCATTCCAGAGTATTGGGTAAAGGTGAACATTTCTCTCCATCTGTTTTACCAATAACCCGAATTAACACAGTTTCCAGCCCAGAGCACATGATCTAAAGCCAACCAAAGTCAGTGAAAAGGTCTCTGGTGACATATAAGGACTTGGAGGAGATTGAACCAAGGTGTTCTATAAAATAAATTTCTGGCCAAAGAAAACTGGACGGGCAGAAAGATTACAATTCCTCTATCATAACAGCAGTGACTCATCCAGTTGCATAGTCACTTGGGGTGAAAAAGAAAACAGTTACTCAATCTCTCAGGGATTTAGACACAGAAGAATATATTATGCAAGTTTTAGCAGCGTTACTAATGGCCTTGAAGCGCACAACTCTACTATGACTCTCACTCAGCTCAGCAGATCACAAATAAGATGACTCACGTATCCATGACACGATAGGCAAATAGAGTCTAAGAAGTGCAGAGGCAGGTGCTAATGCAGTCACAGAGCACGCAGGCAAGGGAAGAGAATTATAAAATCGTGAGCAAAGGGCTGCGGAGAAAAGCAGCTCAAATATTTGACGACTCGGGAGCTTGGACCAGGTCGATTTATCTTGATCTCAGATTGCAGGGGCTTGTGAGCCTGAAGCCACCCTGTGCACAGGGAAGAGCCCCGCCGCTGGCTCTGGGCACTGCGCTTCCCCGGGGAACGGCAGCCAACAGCACGCGGTGGCCTTTGCCTGTTGGTGGTGGGTGAGTCCCGGGAGATCACACCACCACCGAGAAAGTCAGCTGGGACCTCCGTAAATTTAATGATGTTTATGTTTGGGAGGACTTTCAAACCTCCTCTTGAAACACCATGATTTTGTAGAAACTATTAACTCTGACCATTTAGCCTTCAGCCTGGAGAAGAGAAGGCTCCGGGGAGACCTCACAGCAGCCTACCAACATCTGAAGGGAGCCTACAGGAGAGCCGGAGAGGGACTCTTTGTCAGGAAGTGTAGTGACAGGACAAGGGGTAATGGTTTTAAATTGGAAGAGGGGAGATTTAGATTGGATATTAGGAGGAGGGTCTTTCCTGTGAGAGTGGTGAGGCGCTGGAACAGGTTGCCCAGGGAAGCTGTGGCTGCCCCATCCCTGGAAGGGTTCAAGGCCAGGCTGGATGGGTCTTTGAGCAACCTGGTCTGGTGGGAGGTGTCCCTGCCCAGGGCAGGGGGGTTGGAACCCGATGATCTTTAAGGTCTCTTCCAACTCTAACCATTCAGTGATTCTATGATTTAATTAACCCCACTGGTGGTTTCAGCCATAGCAGTATTTTGCCCATTATCTAATGACTAACCTCCTCACGGCTGGAGGACTTTGACAGCTGTTCTCAAAGCACCGTTTAAAATCCGGATGGTGGAACCCAAAGCATGAACTAAACAGCTGTTGTCCCTAAAGAAAATTGTGTAATTCTTTATGCTCTGGAGATCCAACCAAAGCCCAGTTACAAACACTGTTCAAAGCCAAACGCTTCACAGAAGTCCAATAATTAGAAGGGTTATATTAGAACTGGTACCGCAAAATTTGGAAGTTTGTGCAGGCCAGAGCACAGTAAGGTGTTTAGACCCATGTGTGGGTCAAGGCTGCACTACTGCAGAAACACAGACTACCTATGATTTTTTAATTTTTACATTTGGCTTGACCCAGCCATTCCAATTTGCAGTTCCCTTCACCTGACTGAAAGATTCCGGGTGGTCTAAGGGTTATTTGATTATAAACTGTCTGTGGGATCTGTTACCTGTAAAAATACAGTCCATGCAGAGCAGGGACCCTCAAATACTCTGGGGAACACGAGGAAAAGTTCTGCATTTTTGTTATCATGAAAGGGAGACCCTTGAGATTAACAGGAATAGCACGAACGCAGAAGCTTGAGTGACATTTTTTTTTATGAGCTCAGTTGCACAAAGAACTGCAGAGAACTACTTTCAAATGACTACATCTGAAACACTTCCTTTAAAATATTACCTAATTCCAAGGGGTTTATTCCAGGCATTTCAACTAACACCTAGCTGTGTATGCGACGTAACGTATAGATACATAAGGGATGCACCATTTCATCCCGCTGCCAGCACCGATTAACATACCAGAGCAGGGTATTTTTGTACAAACCAGGATAACCTCCTGCCACATCCTGTCTCGTTCCCAGAGCTGACAGTCACTAGGCTGACATCATCCTTATCTCCCATTAAACACGGGTGGTTGGAGGTGATGTTATGCAGAAGCAGAGGGGCTTTATGTCAGGAAGTAAAAAGAGCACTTGGAAATCTCTTCTTACGTGGACAGTGGAAGGAAAAAGCTTTTTATCTGTATCCTTTGTCTTTCCCAGGCATCACCCAGCGGAGGATCCCACAGTACTTAACAAAACTGTTAAGTCTCATAAATTTCCTCTGAAGAAAACGTTCTCAGACTCGGGATTTAGCTGAGTTTCATCACTGTATTAGTAATATACCTGTGAAATTATTTACCCAGGATTACTGGGAAGGCAACACAGAATTTTGGATTCTGCTTTTATTCTGCATACATTCATGTGAACAAAGGGGGGAAGCAGCAGGGATGTGGCAAAAGCCTTCTTACAGATCCAGCTGGTGTACCTAAAAGGCTAATAAAAATATGTTAATAATAAAGGCTCATATATTATCTGAAGGAAGCACAGTTTCCATGATTTATGGTGTGATCCTTTTCTGAAAGAAGCCTGTGTGTCTCCATGAATGAGGCTGATTACAAGAGAGGTGATACTGCTAACATAATGTTCATATATTCTGAGCATTAAAGCTGCTGTGGAAAGCAAGTGGCTGTTTTACTGGATGCTCTTTGTTATTTCTTTGCAATTTTAGATGGCAAAAAAGCTGTTGTTCTGATTTGGTGTCCCTTTCTGTGATGGAAGCAGGTTTTTCAGAAAGGGAATATGTGAAGGAAAGAAGGGTCTGATGCAGTGGGATGTGACATGCAATAGCTGGAGTTGCTGCAGCCAAAATATATAAGTCAAACTGGTCAGTTCTGACCCTGCCTTCTGACATTGTGCAACACTAATGCCAATTAAATAGCTCCAAACCACTTTACTAAACTTTTTTATTGACTTTTGTCACCTTCTCACTGTTGTTACATCCTCACAACCTCTCACGCATCTCATTTGCTCCCAGGCTTTAGCAACAAGGAGCACAGCACTCGGCTGGTTTTCTCTAACTCCTCCGAGCTGCCAGTCTGGCAGAACGCTGGTAATCCAAAACCAGAGAGGCCCCTGCGCTCTGGGCGGCAGCAGAACAATGTCTCTTTTCACGTGGTTCCTCCACCTCTTCTTCTAATTTAAAGGAAGCTACATCTCTGGCTTTTACAACCGTGCACCTTCAGTCTATGGACTGAGGCTAGTGTGAGCTGACGGAGATGTGTCTCACAGAATCGCCCAGGTTGGAAGGGACCTTTATGATCATCTAGTCCAAACATTAAAAAAAAAAAAGCCCACACAAACACACCACCACACAAAACACACACACCAACACTAAACCATATTCCCAAGCACCATGTCAATTCATCTTTTGAACACCTCCAGGGATGGGGCCTCAACCACCTCCCTGGGCAGCCCATTCCAATGCCTGATAGCCCTTTCAGTGAAGAAGATTTTCCTAATATGCAACCTGAACCTCCCCTGGCACAACTTGAGGCCGTTTCCTCTTGTCCCGTCGCCTGTGACTTGGGAGAAGAGACTCCACCTCTGAAAGGCTTGGGAGCTTTCCTGTTTCCACCCAGAGCCCTGTTACAATGCTACACAGGCCAAAACCCCCAGACATCCTTCAGTGCCCAGCAAAGCACGTATGAAAAGAGGGGCAGAAACGTGATGTGAGGTGTCCACACCACCACGGGACAAGAGAGGGAATGAGCTACAGATTCCTCCTCAAACAACTGCGAGGCCAAGCAGGCCCCTGGGCTGCAGGCAGGGAGGTGACAGCCGCGTCCCCCAGTAGAGGAGCAGCACGGCCACTGCTCACACCCCTGTCGCCCGCCCAGGGAGCCCGGTGAAGGGGCAGGAGGCCGCCCGCCCGCTTCCTCGGGTGTCCCGGTTGTCACAAGTCCCTCCGGTGAGGTCAGCGGTGACGCAGGTGCAACTCATACAGCCCCAACGCAACCTTCGCTCGGGGGTGACGCCTGTCACCGCGCCCCCTCAGGCCTTGTCCCCTCCGGGACACGGGGTGTGTGTGGGGGGGGGCGGTTTTATCCGTGCGGACGGGGCACGGGGCACACCGGGGCGCACTGCGAGCTGTTGGCTCTCAGGGGCAGGGACACACGGTGTATTGGGCGCTGAACCCCGCCTGTGGCCGGGGCGGCCCGGTGGCAGGTCCCGCCCGCCCCGCCGCCATGCCGGCGGCCCGCCCGCGCTGCTGCCATAGCAACCGCCGAGCGCCCCCAGCGGCCCCCGGGACAGGACGGGATCAATCATTGGCTGCGCTGCCGGAGGAACCGCCCACCCGCTGAGGCTTTCAACCAATCAGCGTCCTTTTTCCATACGTCAGCGTCGCGCCGGAGGAGGCGGAGGAAGTGTTCGTAAACAACAGCTCCCCCTCGCCCGCCCCCGCCGCCCCTCCTGCCCGCGCGCGGCTCCATCCCGCCTTCCCATTGGCGGGCAGCCGCCTCAGCGCGCGCCGGCATGGCGGGGACAGCCAATGAGCGGCGGCGGTGCCGGACGGCGGCCGCCTGACCCCCGCGGGGTGGGGGCGGAAGCAGGAAGCGGCTGGAGGGCGCTCGGGGGCGGCGGCGGCGGCGCCATGGGGGCGGCGCTGGGGGTCTGCTCGCTGGCCAGCTGGGTGAGTGGCGGCGGGGGCGGTGGGTCTCACCCCTCCGGGGAGCAGCCCCGGCCCCGAGCGGGGCCTCCGCCGGCGCTCCGGGGCCGGTGACTCCCCCGGGGCCGGTGACTCCCCCGGGGCCGGTGACCCCAGTGACCGCCCTCCCTCGGTCTCTGGGCAGGAGCGTGGTCCCGCCGGCTCCGGGAGCGGCTCCAGCCCCTCGGGGCAGAGCGGGGGCCAGGCTGTAGATACCCTGCTTCTTCCCTGCCTGGCCGGGAGGCGGGGCCCTACCCTTCCCTGGCGGTGTGGGTGAGCGCGGCCGGGCCGGGCCCCCGGGCTGATAACGGCAGGGTGTTTACGGGGGTTTCCAAACCCCCCGCCCCGCCGCCATGCCGGCGGCCCGCCCGCGCTGCTGCCATAGCAACCGCCGAGCGCCCCCAGCGGCCCCCGGGACAGGACGGGATCAATCATTGGCTGCGCTGCCGGAGGAACCGCCCACCCGCTGAGGCTTTCAACCAATCAGCGTCCTTTTTCCATACGTCAGCGTCGCGCCGGAGGAGGCGGAGGAAGTGTTCGTAAACAACAGCTCCCCCTCGCCCGCCCCCGCCGCCCCTCCTGCCCGCGCGCGGCTCCATCCCGCCTTCCCATTGGCGGGCAGCCGCCTCAGCGCGCGCCGGCATGGCGGGGACAGCCAATGAGCGGCGGCGGTGCCGGACGGCGGCCGCCTGACCCCCGCGGGGTGGGGGCGGAAGCAGGAAGCGGCTGGAGGGCGCTCGGGGGCGGCGGCGGCGGCGCCATGGGGGCGGCGCTGGGGGTCTGCTCGCTGGCCAGCTGGGTGAGTGGCGGCGGGGGCGGTGGGTCTCACCCCTCCGGGGAGCAGCCCCGGCCCCGAGCGGGGCCTCCGCCGGCGCTCCGGGGCCGGTGACTCCCCCGGGGCCGGTGACTCCCCCGGGGCCGGTGACCCCAGTGACCGCCCTCCCTCGGTCTCTGGGCAGGAGCGTGGTCCCGCCGGCTCCGGGAGCGGCTCCAGCCCCTCGGGGCAGAGCGGGGGCCAGGCTGTAGATACCCTGCTTCTTCCCTGCCTGGCCGGGAGGCGGGGCCCTACCCTTCCCTGGCGGTGTGGGTGAGCGCGGCCGGGCCGGGCCCCCGGGCTGATAACGGCAGGTTGTTCACGGGTGTTTCCAAACCCGATATCAGCCAGAAATGGCGGTTACACTGCTCATCTCTGTGCTCCGGCAGGGAGCGGGGGTGTCTGTGATGGGGTTGGGGGTTTCCAGCCGCGAGGGGAATGCCCTCACTGTTCCGTCTGTCTGTCCTTCAGATTCCCTGTCTGTGCAGCGGTGCCTCCTGCTTACTGTGCCGGTGCTGTCCCAACAGCAAGAACTCAACAGTGACACGGCTTATCTATGCCTTCCTCCTCTTCCTCAGCACTGTTCTTGCCTGCATTATGCTGGCACCGGGGATGGAACAGCAGCTGAAAAAGGTAGGGAAGGAAAAGCCTCTTTCTACCTATTTGCAAAACTCATTTGTGCCAGTGACTGTTGGTTCTCTTTAGTGGGGAATGGATTACATGAGAGACAGAAATACCCAAATCTGCTTTGTCCCCTGAGTTAAGATACTGCATGTACCAAACAACTTCTAGCTGAAGTAGCAAATTCAGTGGACATACATTTTTAAGTACATGCCTGGTCTCTGAAGCCCCACCAGACCTGGAGGGGCCAGTCATTATCAGAGGCCTGCTGCTTTGGTATCTTAATCATCCTGGCTGCGTTTAGTGATGTCATGGGGATGGACGATAATGAGGTCTGTGCAGACTTGCTGAGCAATAAGGTATTTTGTTATCAGAACTCCCAGAAGAGAGCTGACTGAGAACCTTAACTGTTAAGAGTGCTTAAAGAATGGATTTGCAAATGCAGATGTAAACTCACAACTAAACGTGTCTTTGCTCAGATACCTGGATTTTGTGATGAAGGGCTTCATACTCGGATACCGCACATGAATGGCTTTGTCAGCTGTGATGTGTTTGTGGGATATAGAGCTGTGTATCGCATCAGCTTTGCCATGGCAGTGTTCTTCTTTATCCTCTCTCTGCTCATGATACAAGTGAAAACAAGTAACGATCCAAGAGCCTCGGTACACAATGGGTATGTGTGAGCCAGCTGTCTGGTCTTCCAGCTTGTTTCTTCTCTCACGTTTCTTTGCTGAACTCAGTGGTGAATTGTCTATGCATACATTGACAGCCACAGGTTTCTTTTCAACTAAATATCGAGGAACACTTTAGTCTCCTAAAAAGCTTTCTATTTATGTGATGTGTTCGATGTAGTGATAATGTTCTGAGGCTGGGTAACCAAAAGGGCTCTGTGCTCTGTGTTTCCACAGTGATGATGTATTTCAGCTCATTTATATCACCATCCTTGCACTGATTCTAGCACTCGTTGGGACATTCACTAGGCCAGTCTGACTCGGTAATCCAGCAGAAACTGGTTTCTGATTCACTGATTCAACTGGATTGATTCTGGGCTAGATGACTGAATTATCATAGAGCCATTTAATTTGAAAGGGACATTTGGAGATCATCTGATCCAACCCCCTGGTCAGAGCAGGACCAACGTGGAGTGGGTTATTCACAGTCTTTTCTAGTTGAAATTTAAATGTCTCAAAGGATGGGGATGCTTTGACCTCTCTGGGAAACCTGTGCAATTTTTTGCAATATCTAGTGGTAGTTTCTCTTTTTGCAGCTTGCAAAAAGAGAAAGAGAAAGAGTTTCTGTTTTTGCAGCTTGTCCTTTCACTGTGCACCTGCAGGAAGAGTCTGGTTTTGTTTTGTCACCTTTCTTTTAGGCAGTTGAAAGCAGCAATTGGATCTCCCTTTTCCCTTCTCTGAGCTGAACAGTGCAGAGTTAGCCTTCTTCCCTGGAAGGATGAGCTGCTAACTCACGTTCCATTTCTTGGAGCAAGAGCTTCTTTCAGCAAAGCTTTCTAGCTAGTCCTCCCCAACTCTGTCCTGTTGCATGGGGTTTTTCTGTCACAGGTGCAATGCTCTGTATTTGCCTTTGATGAACTCTGAGGTTTCTGTCAGTCCGTGTCTCCAATGTATTGCTTCACCCTCTCCCCCTGATTTGGTGAACATCGTTATCCATAATCCCACTGAACACAGTTATTTTTTTCTTTAAATTTTTGTTAGATCCTCATCTTTGTACAGCAAGCTGCTTGCAGATCAGGTAAAATATGAGCATTGTGTGCAAAGTAAGACCAATATTTTCTTTTATCTTCCTTTTAAAGGTTCTGGTTCTTCAAAATAGCTGCCATTGTGGGTATCATGGTTGGAGCATTTTACATTCCTGAAGGGCCCTTCACAAGAGGTACAGTGAATACATCATCATGGAATTGTGTGATAAACCTTTTCACAGACTTACCAGGCTATAGATGTGACAGTGAAAGTTATCTTCTAGAAGACACAGATTCTGTCCTACTTCATTAGAGTATCTTGGTTCATCCAGTATTTTGGTGACCAACTGAAGTTAGGGCAATAAGCAATCTCTTTTCAAGTGCAGAAGTGTCATGTATTAACAATTGGATACTCCGTGACACAGCGGGGACTGGGCTGAGTCTTCTGACACTCTTTGGATTAGAGGCAGCTCAGAACACTGCCAAATGGTTAAATGCTTCCCTAGAGTCTCTGAAAAATCTGTTCAAGAAAACTTTACTGTCTGGCCACATCACAGGAACTTGAAAGGGTGGTTGATCCTCAAAGAAATGTGGCGTGATGGTACTTTGTGTACTTATGTACACAAAGGTGTCTTGTGTTAGATCCTTCATTCTGGAAACGAGTTGGACTCAACATTCCCATGCTCAGCTTGACTAGCATAAGCTGCACCCTTCAGTAGCTGGGACATCTTGCACAATTCTGCAGGATGGAGGCCAAAGTGATTAACAGCATCTGCATTTCTAAATGGAGTTTCAGATTTTTTCATTATTTGTCTGCAGTATAATTAGGAGCTTTTTATTTTTATTAAACTAGGGCAGCATGGAAACGATGAAAGCTAACCCTGTTTTTCTTGCTCCCTTTTCTAGTTTGGTTTGGTATTGGTGTTTGTGGAGCTGTTATCTTCATTCTTATCCAGTTGGTGCTTCTTGTGGACTTTGCTCACTCCTGGAATGAGAGCTGGGTTAAGAGAATGGAGGAGGGAAATTCTAAATGTTGGTATGCAGGTACGAATCTTACCCAGTAAAGAAAGGATTTGTTTTTGCTGGCCAGTACTCTGCAGAATATCACTTATTAGTTTGCAAACATACCTAGAATTACACTCCACAGTCGCCTTGAGTCACTACTGTAAACATCTGGAATTAATAGCTGCTGTGTTGCTTTTTTTCCCCTCATTAAATGAAATGCACAATGTTTTAGGCTCGTGATTAGCAGATCCAACAGTCATAGTAAACACCACTTGCCTAATTTGCGGTGCGAGTGCAGAGACAGTTGCCTGCATCTCTTCAGCTCTGACTTGGCTTTGCTGCCTCCTCTCCTGAGGTCTTCAGGAAGTAGGTTATGTCAATGACAGTGGCTTCAGCACAACACAAAACATGCCTCAGCGCATGGTCCCGAGCTGACCACTAAATTACAAAGTGCTAATTGTTGTGGTCCTTTGCTCGTGAATGCTGCAACAGCATTTTGTAGCTTCTTATAAAGAACACAGCAGAATGGAAATGAAAATGGCTGTCCTCAGGCGTAGAAGGGCGAATGCAGGGCTTATAAATAGCCCATGAGAAGTGTGCACAAAGCATTCTCATTTTGACATCGTGGCTTGACATCAGTTAAACCAATTAAACTGCTGCTGAAAGGCAGGTCTTATTCCCCTGATGGCAGCATTGGCTTTCCTCTGAGCTACGCTGCTTAGTGAGCCAAAGCAGAAATTTAGCCTTGCCTAATAAAAATGCATTCTGCTAGTCTGGTTTTCTGAACTAGACTCCCAAGTGAGGAGGAGGGACTGTCTCATTACAGTGGTAGCTGGTCATTAAATCAACTTAGATGTACTGTTAAACTACACGCATATTCTAACAGTTAATTTTTTTCCCCTCCAGCTCTGCTGTCCTGTACAAGCTTGTTCTACGCCTTGTCACTGGTTTTTGTTGTGCTTTTCTGTATTTTCTACACGAAGCCTGATGACTGCACTGAGAACAAGTTCTTCATAGGCATTAATATCATCTTGTGCATCGCTGTCTCCATTGTTTCAGTCCTTCCAAAAGTTCAGGTATTATTTTTCTCTACCACTTTCTTCTGACATACAAAGCAGGGAAGGAAGAAAGATGTAGTACCAGTTCAGTCAGAGATACGAACTTTAAAATTTGGGTTTTGTAGCTATGCTAGCCTGGAACATTTGAAAAAAAAATAATCTTGCTTTGAAACCACTGCACTACGTAGTGACGTATTTCCTTAAGATAGGCTTTTTTTGGCTAACATAGTTTTGGACTTTGTTTCCATGTGGGGGACTGCTGGTGTGGTTTTAGTGGTGAAGGTTCTGGCAGAACAGAGAAACCCATTAGGGAAAAGCAAAATAAGCTGGGAATTTATTGGCTTAATAATGTGGCTTTGAAATTACAGTTAAGCGTGTTTTATATAAGAGGAAGCTTACATGTTACTTGATTCTGAACTGGTATTGCTCAAATAAATCACATGCTACATTTGTTTCTATGTAACTGTTTAGGAAGTTGGGATTAATTCAGTAAGAACCCAGAACTGAGTCCTGGGTGCAGAAAAACTGGATTTGGTTTGCTTATTACTTCTATTTTTCAGTTGTTCACTGCATAAATTGTATTACTGTAAGGATTTCCTTCCGGTCTTTTAAACATAGAACAAAGCCCAATGCATTTCTAAAAAATAAAGTTTTGCATGCTGGTAACTGTTGAATGTGTGGCATCAGGGTGAAACTATCCATAAACTACAGGTAAAACTTGCCCTTGGCAAGTTTTGACCTTGGCTTTGCTGTTTTGTCTTTGAACAGGAACATCACACTTACTCTGGCCTCCTCCAGTCCTCTGTGATCACGCTCTACACCATGTATCTCACTTGGTCAGCCATGTCCAATGAGCCTGGTAAGCAACTGGCTGTCTCAAGTAAGGTAGCTTGGTGTGAAAGCAGAAGCTGATGATGGGGCTCAGTTATTACAGATCGATGTGTGAGAATTTTATCTGTCTAGATAAGAGCGAGGCAGTAAGCTGATGTTACTGAAACCATCAAATTGCCTCTTTCCAGAACTAACCTGGTGTATTTGTGTGGGGAGGGTAGGAAACAGAGTCATGGCATTCCCACTTTTTTGTATTTATTACACTCTTGCCTCACAGGAAGGAAGACTATTCCATGCCATTGCTGGCTCTGGGAATCAAAGACATCACCAGTTAGAGGGAATGAAAAACTGCAAGCTTACTGTCAACTTCTCTCAACTAAATGCTGTAAAAGCTCATCTCTCTTTAATCTGCCTTGAAATCTCTTTCAGAACGAAGCTGTAACCCAAGTTTGCTGAACATCATTATCCAGATTACTGCACCCACAGTTGCTCCAGCAAATGCCACTGTGGTACCTGCTACTCCAGCTCCGCCCAAGTCCCTACAGTGGTGGGATGCCCAGAGTGTTGTTGGGTTGATTATCTTTGTCCTTTGCCTCTTGTATTCCAGGTAGGATCCGCACTGCTATCCAATGATATACAACTGGGATTTGTCTGTCTTTTTTTATCTTTTTTTTTTTAATCTGGGTCTAGTGAAAAATATCCCTGCATTTATTCATATCCAGGTGCTGTCTCAGCCCAAGCCTAAATACTGCTAATAAAACTGTGTTCTGTTTTGTGGCTGAGGAGAGGCTTTATTAGCCCAAATCAGATTACAGAACAAAATGTGTCACAAGACCTGGACTAGGAACACTGTTTAATTAGGTTAACAAAAGCTCAGATGAAAACAGATCTCTCTGAGGAGCTTCCTCATGTTTCCAGATGGATTTTAAAAATTCATATTTGCTAGTCCCAGACATTCATTGTGGGCTGTTGCTTGCTTTGTTAGCAAACATAGCTAACTGAAAAAGGAGTTTTTAACCATGTCTATCTTTTGGTTACACTTCAGCATTCGCTCTTCAAGTAACAGCCAGGTGAACAAGCTGACGCTGTCGGGGAGCGACAGTGCCTTCCTGGAGGAGCCGGTGGGAGCGGGCAGCGGGGCTGCGGAGGAAGGAGAAGTGCGCCGTGTCATGGATAACGAGAAGGAAGGGGTTCAGTACAACTACACCTTCTTTCACTTCATGCTCTGTCTCGCCTCTCTTTACATCATGATGACACTCACAAACTGGTACAGGTAAGAGTGAGACAAAGTGACGGGCTGTGTGTTCCATCCCGTGTTTCCAGGTGGACAGGAGACTCCTGCCAAGCTGGTTAGGGGGCTCTCCGTGTGCCAGTTGCATTATAGTTGTGCCTTCTCAATTTTGTGTGGCTAATTATGATGTAGAAAGGTAAAGCCAGCAACTGTAGTCCTAGTGGACTGCTTCCCAGCTGCAAGGGCAGAAAGGGCTATCCTTTGGAAAGGCAAGCAGCAGGAAGGATACGTATGAAATTGGTTTAAGGTGGTGTCCTGTGAAGTTTGTCAGAGGCCAGGCTAATATTACTGGCTCTTCTCCCTGAGAAGAATGTGCAGGGACAGCCAGACATGCCACTTGAATGGAAATATGACTTCCTAGATCTGTTGGGAGCACTTAAAACATTTCCTCTGCTGCTGAAGCTTATGACTGTTGTCCCTAGGACTGCTGTATTGTATAAATTAGCAAATGCAGTCACAGAACAGCAGCCCTCAGGAGTCTAATGCTGGCTACGTTTTCTTACCATCTTCCTGCAAAGGCTTTTCACTGCAGTGTCCCAAATGATTGAGACAGATTCATATGAGATGTAGCAAGGAACAGTGGAAGGTGTCTTCTGTATCTATTAATTGACTTCTTTACTTTTTTAGCCCTGATGCAGATTTTAAGACAATGACAAGCACCTGGCCAGCTGTGTGGATGAAGATAACCTCCAGCTGGCTTTGTCTCCTCCTCTATTTTTGGACCCTAGTGGCTCCCCTTGTCCTTACTAATAGGGACTTCAGTTAAATTGCTGCACCTGTCTGAGCTTACAAAAGTGGGGAGCTTTTTGCTGAAAGCCAAAATGTTCGTGTATTGCTGTAGTTAGTTTATGTTACTATCTTATGTTGATATTAACATGCAGGTGGCTAGAAAGTTGTGTATTGCATAATGCTTGGTGCAGGATCAAAAGTATCATCAGTTATCTTTTTATTTTAACCTTCAGTTATGGTTATTACTACATTTTTTAAATTCACTACAGCCGTGCTGTCAAAGCACAAGACACCTGTTCTGTCCAATAGCCACAACCTTTCTATTGAATAGAAGTAACATTTAGCTAAATATGAAGTAATATATTTTAAAGCACAATTATATTCAGCATAATGCACTAGTATGCTAAGGCTTCAGTTCCTGGAAGTCTAAGCCATGCTGCGTGACTTCTACATTCCACTGTAAAAGTTTATTTAAATTTATACTTACCTTCCTATGTTGTGGCAAACTCCCCCTTATTTCTTACCAAAGAAACACAACTTGGAGGTCAAAAATGTGGTTAACTCTAATGCTTTTTACGAACAAACTTGCCCTTTCTAAGAGGCAGCTTCTTTTTTTAGTGTGTTTGCCAAATATTGAGTGGTAAGTGTATGACTAGCTTCAACAACTTCATAATTACGGTGGACAAATAAAGCTTCTAATTGATTGCTTATAAAAATTATGATTATTATTGCACTGTAACTCATTTGAATAAAGTGGACTAACTACTGAAACTGTCCCAGCTCTCTTGAGAAGTGTTATTCTCCAATGCAAAATGCTACCTACAATGATTAAAATGCTGGTCAGCTGCTGCAGTGTCCAGTTGGATATGACTGGATGTAAAACCTTTTTCTTGAAGTTGCTCAGGTAGAGTTGTTCAAGTAAAAATTGGTTCTGCAGTAGAAAGCAACACTTTTTCTAACATAACATGTGGAACTAAGTATATGCCACTATTGACTTTTACAATAAAATACTCCAAGACATAACAAGGCAAACATATTTAAAATAACAAATTAGCAGCTGTTACAATGTGTTTAATCAACCAGTCATGCATCATAAAAGTACACATTTTGACCACTTCATTTTATAAAATGCAATATAAAAATAAATTTTGTCAAAATAAGATGTACACTTAACCACCCAACACCTCTAGGCCCACATAAAACAGAAGGCAAAATTATTAGCTTGACTAACACTATGATTAACTCATGCCAAAATGAGATTTAACAAAAACAATACTTGACCCAATTCCTGAAAATACCTCAGGGTTTGTAACACCCATTTGCAAAAGTATAAATTCAAGTACTTTTATGTACAGTATGCAGCTACCTTTTGTCCCACTTGATGCCAAAAGCCATGGCTGCCCAATGCAGTTCAACTGTCTTTCCTTATTTCATGTTGGATTTGGCAGGAGAGCTTATGCACTAGGCAAAGCATGTAAAAAAAACCTCTGGAAATAAAGTTATTATTTCAAGTGGGAAAAAACAAACAACCTGTAAGCTTTTCCTATCTCAACCTGCAGATAAGGAGACTCTATACTTAAAATGAGTGTTTATTTTCCAAATGCTGACAAGATAAATCTTGGAAACAAACCAATTTCTTTGCTAGTAAGTGCTAAAGCTCAAAGAGCACTCTCAGCTCAGTAGTCAGGCACATAGAAGACAGAGCTGTTCTTTCTCTAAGGTAAGTCAAGAACTGGTTACGGACCTGAAAAAGGGTAGAGATACAGCTCGAAAAAGTTGCAGCTCTGTCTTGAGTTCTAAAGCCAAGAAAGAGCAAATTAGAAGTAGCAGTTAGATGCTTGATGAAGGTAAGCCTGGCTTAGTTCAAGTATCCTGACATCAACTGCCCAGCAGCCAGCTTTAAGAAAAACAAGTTTCTGGAGGCATAACACAGGCTATTTTCAGCATTGATAACACAGCCTTATCTATTATGTTTAAATTATACTTAGTTTCAATCATTCTTAGTTTCTCTGCAAGCAGAGGAGAGAAGGGGAAGGAGGGATGAATCTACTTTGCCTACAATGTAAGGCATGCAAGAGAATATAAAAGCCTGAAAAAGGGTTTGGTTACTGTAGAGGTTCCTCAGCCTTTTCCTGAACATCACAAGATATTTTTTTCTTTTTGAAGTATCCTAAATTGCATTTTGAATATGCAGCTTCCTTCTCTAGTAGTTACATAAGGAGAGCAAAGTAGCTGTTCATGTAGGCTAACTTCAAACCCTGCAGCACAACTGAGGAAAGAGCATCAAATACCAGTTGTTCCTTCACCTCAGAAAAATGGTCCATCCTATTATTTTTTTTTTTACATTGTGTCTGGAATTAAGAGGCACTAAAACAATATAAACACCACTGTCTCTGTTCCAGCAATTAAAGGGCACAGGCAACCACTTACCTTTCTAAGTCCTGGTGCTGTGTGCTACTGTCTTGCTAGGTGGCACAAAAAACTGAATTAATCTCTGCAAAACACGCAGCATGTTCTGGTCAGAAATGAGGAGAAAATGGCTAGCAGTACTTTTACTTTATTTTAAGGAAATGAAAACGGTAGGGGTTTTTCCCCCCAGTGCTAAAGGTAATAGCTGCCAAAGAGGAAAACGAATTTCCTTATAAAGGTAGGAAAAATCAGATGCTTTCAGTGAGGAAAATTCATCTCTTCCCACCTTTAATCCAAAGCAGTTCAAGTGATGAGTTCCCTGCTCCCACAAATTCTGGACTGCCACCCAAAAAAACAGCTTCATGGTTTACCCCTTTTCAAAACCCAATCTCCTTTTATAAGGCTCCGATGACAGGTGTGGCATTTGCTACTCCCTAGTTCCAGAACAAGGGCTGCTGCCAGATCAGGAAGTCATTACGGTGGCAGGAGTCTCTTTTTGGCAACGCAATCGTGCTGTAGGGGGATTGAGAGGAAGACAGACAGTCAAAACAGAGTTTGGCACTTTGAAAAATGAATGTCTGAAATCCTCAAGATGCTTTAGTTTTATATTTATAGAAACATAACTGGTACCTATAATCCCACTTAGCACTAAATAAAGATTTCATCCAGAGAAAGTGCTCTAGAGATAAGTCTCCAATTAGAAGGGATGTTCTTTTTCTCCAAATAGCGGAATATTTCACTTTGAAATAACAGGGTGTGCTTTCCTGGTCCAAGTGAGGTTTCCCATCTCCACACTATTATAGTGCAGAAGAACATGTGCAAAGACTGTGCTGAAAGTTAAGTTCTAGTTCAAGACCACTAAAAAGGTTGAAGTTGGGGAGCGGGAGCAGCTTATTTAGACAAAGGTATCTTACCCTGATTTGACATCGGAGTCTGAATTCTGTCTCTAGACAAAGACCTAGAAGCACAGGCAATACAAGCTACAGGTAAATATTACAGAGATTATTAAAGTCTAACTTCATACAGGAACATGACAACCAAAGACAGAAGAGGTCAACAAAGTTGAAAACAAAGTTGTAACATTTCACAAAAAAAGCCAACAAGCATGGTGAACAAAGTGCTACAATGCCAGGAAATTCAAGAATGTGCTTTCAAGTAGCCTGTCTGCATTTGGTTTCGCAGAGTTAAACCCAAATTCTGCCTAAAGTAACAAGCTAAAGCAGCACCTTGCTGTCTCACAAGAAGTATTGCCTTCTATACATCATACGCCAACTGCTACAAGGCCTCCTTACAAATTCTATGTATGAGTTTGTTACCCAATTCCTCATCACACCCAGCTGAAGAAAAGAACAACTGACAATGCAGGAAGGTGGCTGACATAGCTTTTCCTTATTTGGTCCTGAACCTCATTATCTGAAGCTGTTCTCTAATCAAAAGCTTTTACTTCATCTGAAAAACTTCCTGTTTTCTCAAAATGAAGATTGCATCTGTTTATAATAAGCCTTGGCATAGATGTTACAGTGGTTAATCCAGCAGTTACAGTTCTTCCTACTGTGAGGAAGTTTCAGAAATTATCTCGATACTGATATTAATGGATAAGAAAGTTTTGCTCTATATTAATTAGAGACAAATATTCCTTGAGATAGTTCAGAAATGCCAACTCACAATCTGAACCAAGCAACAGAGGACAGGCCAAGTTAGACTTTTATGTTTCTAAGCAATCTTCACTGACATAACTACATTTTGCAACGTTCAAAAGCAATTTTCTTGTCTTGGATTACCGGGGTTTGCAGAAGGGGAAGGGAATGGATGGTCACAAGGCTAGTAAATCATTGTTGTCACTTTTCGTCTGTATGGGGAAAGGGTAAGAAACTATCAAGGTTAACATCCTGCAATATGTTATTTTGTCATTAGAAAGAATAGGCCAGTTTGCATCATTCACAGAGGCTGATAAGCCTCAAGTATTCTCCATAACTTGTGCTCTTTGCCTTTACCCTCCCCAAACTCTGCCCTGCCCCCATTGTGCCCTCTTCAGCTTCCTTTGGTTCTAGGGTGTAAAGTGCCTCAGCGGTCTGTTCCCAGCTGCAGGTTTAGGAGTAAGGCAGAGTTCACACCACCACCTATCAGAACAGATCTTGACCATGCTGGAAAACTTCCCTTCACTGGTTTTTTTTAATAACAGTAATAGAGCTGAGGTTTCATGCCTCGCAGAGAATCATCGCATTGCTTTTCGTCAGCGTCCCCACTCACTAGCATGTCATGGGGAGAGCTGTCACACGGGAGAACCAGCTGGGAGAAATCATGCAGGAGGTCCTCCTCGGAGGCCAGCAGCAGCTCGTTCCACGCGGAGATGTCCAGCTTCCCTGCAGTACCACCGTACTCTTCAGGAAGGATCACTGGAGGAATGTTTTGATGAAGGGAATTCAGATCACAGCCATGAAGAAAAAACTGAAGAAGCAAGCAAAAGGTAACTTTAACAGTGCATAGCAAACACTTCACAGCAAATTACTGAAACAGTCAGGTAACATGCTTATTTCGAGCTAAAGACCAAATTTTAGGAGTAATGACTTTATGTGCAAATGGCGGCATACAACACTGGGCAAGTGCAGCTAGACACACTGGTGAGAGAAGCCTTGAGAAGATCCAAGTCTAGTGCAGCTTAAATCCTAGGAAGAGAGCCTTCGCATTTGCCAGCCTGTGCTGAAGTTCCAAATTCAACTGTTCATTCATGGGATTGGAAGGATTTATCCTTGTGGAAAAAACATCATCTTTTGCAGCTACACCCAGTCCTATGGCGAGAACACTAGTGCCATGCAGGATGCTTGGCATAAGGGAGAAGTGCAAGGAAGGGGCAAAACAGATTTCATGTGACACCATCTCATAAACAAAGTGCTACTTGCCAAGATAATCCAACCCCAGGGATGGAATTAGCGTCCCAAACACATAGTATGTGTACTAAAGATCCATATTAACGTTCTGCCAATATTACACTCCTCAAAGCTTCTCTCTCATGAAGCATTTTCCCAACAAGCATCTTTTAAAAAGTAAAGCAGAAAAGACCAGTTAGATCAAGTAAAAGGCACCAACATTTTTCTAGCTGTGAGGTTTCTCAGCAGTTTTTACTTGCAGTGGGCATGCAAAGAACTTACAAACATTAGCATTAATGTTGAAACGACACAAATCCTTACCCGATTTGCTATCTTTTCCTTCAGAAAAGGCTTGATGATTGCAAAAATGCCTTTGAATATACGAGGTTCATTTATTATGTTAACAGCTTTTATTCGAATGGGGAATCCATCCTGAAGGGTAAAGAAGATTTTTATAATACAGTTTAAAAAAACATTTGCCATCTTCCTCTTTTTAAA